TGAAAAACTGTTTGAAAATAAACTTTCTAACGACCGTCACTCCTGAATGTCGAGGTGAGTTAGTTATCTTACATAGTAAAGAGAAAATGAAGTTAAAATATAGTAAATAACACATTTCAAACAGTTAACCATGAATACTGATTAAGTAAAAAGAATAAATTTGTGATGGAGAATAAGTTAAAAGTACCAATTAAACAGATTTAATCTTATCACTACAAGTTTAAACATTTTCTGCACGAGTCTCTATTTTGAAGACTTTTATTTTGATTTTAAAAAAAAATAAAATAAGGTTATCTATTCTACGCTTACCCTATGTTATTAATAATTTTATTTCTCCCTGATATCCTTTTAAGACATTTATGCATTATATAAGATGAACTTAGTTAGGAGAAATAAATATTTAATTGGAACAATTTTACCGATAAACAACAAAAAATTCATTATATTTTAAATTATTTGAAATAATTTAAAATTTTATTGGAAAGATAATAGTAATAATTTGAGAGGGTAATCGAAAATTCTGTGAAAGTTATAAACTTATAGTTAGGAAAAACACAATAACTTTTTTTCTAAATGAAATTTTATAATTGCATTAACTAAAATGTCCTACTTTCTAACAGAGTAAGTTAAATAAATTAAAATTTTTAAAAAAAAATGACATTTGAATGTGGGTACTGTTTTATCAAAGTAGATATTAATGCATGCACATTATGAAATTTAAAATATATTGAATATAAAGATTTACATATTTTAAAAATTTGAAAATATTTTACTTCAATGTTGAAGTTAAGGCTAACTTCACAAGTATTCTTGTTTTCCGGAATTGAAAAGAGTCTAGTCCCACTCCTTCTCATATTTTTAAAATTTAAATGCGTAATATTTCCTTTCACTGTTATATAATTACATCGAAAACTATGGTCTCAATTATTTGCATGAAATGTGAAAATTAATTACTTATTTCTGAAATTCGCTTTTGAAACTAATTTATGAAACAAAAATTTATGTGAACAAAAGATAAATTTATTTAGAAAAGATTTATTTATTTAGAAAACAAAGCTTAATTGGAAAACAAAACTATTTCATAAAAAAAAATTAAACTTATTTAGAAAACTGACTGATTAGTTAGAAAATATAACGTATTCAGAATGCAAATTCGAAATTAATTATTTTTAAAACAGCGCAAATGCGAGATAAAAGAAATTCTGGTAAAATAATCATACCATATGAAAATGAGAATTCTGAATAAAAACCACAATAAAAAAACCAAAGTATGCGGTATTTTATGCATTCATCTGGTAATTTTTCCATTAATATGGTAACGATTTACCGGAAATTCTAATTTTCAAAATCATAGTTTTATTGCTGCACATTTAGTAAAAAGTATAAAACTGAGAGGTTAATTTAACTGAATAAATAGTTTTCATGCCATGCTCTTAGGTATCATGATAAAGTAGCTGAATTTTACTACATTTACCAAATTTATCACATATTATAAAACCATATTTTATTGTTAATTTTACCAAGATCATTAGCAAAGCACTTAGGTAAGAATTACTGAGCTCGTTGCTGTTCCCATACAGCGAAAAACACTGTAAATTTAACCATTTTTTATTAGTTTAGACCATACTTTTTTTCTTAGTGCCATAATGCGGTATTGTTATCCTTAAAGAATTGAAACTCTTTTATATGCATGGAACATTTTGGCAGTTTTTAGTTTTAAAGTGGATGGAGCTTAATTCCTTTTCAGATGTTTTTATGAACAGGTTCATGAAAATCCCTAACAAACGAATAATTTAGTTTAACTTACTTTATCAAACCGTTCAAAAAAGAGAAACTAATGCGAAATTATGGAATTCATGAGAAATCTAAATTTTCTAAATTTTAACAAACAAAAAACAACAGAAGCAGATGTTCATGTATTTCAAAAGTAAATTAATAATAATAATAATAAACTATAACTAACGGTTAAAAACAGTTTTTAAGAGATTTCGTATGTTCTAGTTGCCTTAATTGTTTTTGAAGGGGGAAAAAAAAGAACGCGAAGATTAATTCAGATGCTTCTTAACTGTAAAAATTCTGCATCGAATTACGGTAAGAAATGTAAGTGCAGCATCAGTTAAATCTATTATTTTACAGTAAAATCCATTTTTGCTGTAAAATTTTGTACTGCAAATTTTCCTGTAATATTAATTGTACAGTGATTCAGTCATTTTGCAGTAAATATTACAGTAAAATTTTGCGGTATATCAAATATTTGGTTCTGTAAAGTGTACCGGTATAAATGGATTTCACCGTTAAAAATACCGTCACCCTTAGTGCCGGTACGTTTTACCATATTTTTAACAGTGTTTGCAGCTTTATTAGAAGTAGTAACAGGCGCATATCTAGAAAACAAAATTAATTACGAAAAATGAACGCTACTAAGGAAAAAATTTGTTTCAGAAAACAAATTATTCAGTTGAATCAGAGGTTGGGCTTGTTCAAATATTTTTGCAGAGTTCCAATTGTTGGAAACTATTAATAGGAAATGTTTCATGATCTGAAACTATTATACACGCTTGATTGTTTTAAAAAATTATAATGATTATATTTTAAAATATTATTAAAAACTAGGATAAATTTCTGAAACTCCTGAATCTGATGCTCTTACATAGTCTCATTAAGAGTATAGGCAATTCAATTATTTAGTAAAAACAAAATAAAAAAAACTAATCCAACAGAAAAGGAGAACTATTTGAAAAAAGCAGATGAATCTTTTACGAAACAAAATTAATTAAAAAAAAAAAAAAAAGGAAAGAAAGAAACACTTTTGAATTAATTAGAAAACAAATTAATTCACTAAAAGGAAAACTATTTTGAAACCGGACAAATCATTTAGAAAACAAAATTATTTCAAAAAAATAAAAACTATGAAGGAAAAAAAAAACAGACGAATCACTTATATGACGAAACTAATTATAAAGAAATGAAAATTGTTTAAAAATCAATCAAATCGAATATAAAAAAAAGCGAATTCGGAAAAAAATTTAGACTATTTAGAAAACAAAATTATTTCGGAAAACCGACACTTACTGAAATGAAAACAAAAAAAGGGGGGGGGAGAGAGAGTCCTTATGCAAATAGCGAAGCAAAATAGCTATAGTGGGAAGTCAGCAATAAAAACATTCCAAGATTCTTGTACTTGCCTTGATTTTTTTAACAAACCACTGTGTCAAAGAATGCGATACCAATGCGTCAAAGAATGAGAAAAAGAATTTTCCATGTACTTCTATGCATTCTTATTTAAAATATATGCATAGTAACTCCTTTTTAAAACGTAGTGAAATCGGAAAAATGAAGACTCAATTGAGAAGAAACAATTTATTCAGAAAACAAAACTCATTCAGAAAATGAACACTTGTAGGAGACAAACGATTGATGTCGAAAACAAAACTTTTTTGAAAAGAAGTAAATTTAGGATGGAACTACAATATATAAAAATTATCGGTAAGAAAATATTTCAAGGATTTAAACTGTCTTATGCGTCTGCACTGGTCACTGTTTTAAAAGCACAAGAGTTTAAATTTTTAACAATTAGTCTTACAATATATTTTCATAGCTTCATTGAAATCATCATATACCGAAACAACCTTAGCATAATTTTGTTTTAAAAATACTATAGTGTTTATTGCATTAGCAAATTTTTCTACGGCAAATAGAGTAATATTACAAATTATAAATATTTCTCTATCGTTAACGCATTCATATTATCGTGCAATTGGGAAAACGATATGGACGGGTTATCACTTATAATAAAATAAAATAAAAATGTAACCGTTATTAGTTAAAAAGAGCTCCAATCTGAGATTTATCCTAGACCGCATCTTTTCAATAAAGCATTTCGATGCACCGAGCTTTATTATAGCAATAGTAGAAAAGAATATTATGAGTGGGACAGTTCATGTTATGTAAATATCACATGGTTGTATTAAGGACATGTACCTACCACTATGCCGCACATATACAAGATGATCTGCTTATTCTTGCATATTATGCTTTATCATAGAACTCTTTAAGTGCGGGATCTTACATAAAATGTTGAAAATATAGTGCATGCATTTTAGTATCTATAAGTATCTATCAACTATATTTCAATTATTCATACTCATAATATTGTTATACGTTATAATAAGGAAAATAAATATAATAAATAAAATCCAATCACATGAACCTGTCAGTAACAGTCAGAAAGTTTGCTACAATACATAGTGAAACTAATAGTGAATAAAAAGTGAAACTAATAGTAATTTTCCAATAGGAACAATAACATGAGGGGTTTAGTCTATCAATTCTATTTATTAACTTTTTTGTCTTTTAAAGTAATTTAATGAAAAATGGTGCACAATTGTGGAAAATAAATATTAAAAATTAAAAAATGTGATGATAGTGCAGAAGTCATTGCGAGTATGTCAATATTATCCGAACACCAGATGTGGGACTACAAAATGTAAACATTAATAGAAAAATGGGTTCAATAAACTTTAGCCATTAAGTTATTATCATCTATATGAAAGGTCCTCATAGTAGTCAATATCGATGACTGGACATAATTTGGAATCGATTCGATAAATGGTTTTATAATTTCCTATTCTATTCAACCGCAGATTTGTTCATAACATTTATTGAAAGGCGACGATTAAAAAAGTTTGGAAGCCCCAGATTTTTATCATTTATTTTGAGCATTTAACGTTTCTAATAGCATTTCACCTCCATATGGAATTATTAACGTTTCTTTTTAAAAATACAAGATAACATTTAAAAAGAAAATTTCTTTAAAAAAATACAAAATAGGGATACATTTTGTATCTGCGTCTCAGCCATGTCGCCGAGTCTTCGCTCTCATTTCTATAGAAAATCGAATTATTGTTGTTGTTGTTATTATCATTTTTTAAATGCAAGATAAAATTTTTTTAAATTACATGATGAAATTAATTTTAAAAAAATACAAGATAAGGACTCACTCTGCGGCTGCGTCTCCGCCATGTCGGCCGTGTCTCCACTCTTGGAAGGCGAAATCTTGACGGTTTCGTTGGGCCGTAGCGTAGAAAAAGTTATATATGCTGCCGTCTCCTTGGTGGATGGCAGGATGCGGGCCAGAAAATGATGATGCTGGGCCAGTCTGCGACACGAATCTTTCAGTTGTCCAGAAGCCAGGATGACCTACAGGTATTAGTCCTGAGTTGATGCTTGCTACAGTATTCTCTTGTACTCCTTTATTGGTTACATTAGAAAGCAATATTGAATTCAATAATCACAGTATTAAAATATAATACTGTGATTAGATAATAGCTTTCAGGACTTAATAGGTAGTCCTTACAATAAACAGACAATTTCACAGCAGTCAGGAGCAATTCGTCCAGGCTCAATATATATATATATTTTAATTACAGGATTTAATAAAAACGATTTATTATTTGATGATTGAAGATTTTTACGATAAAAGGATGAAGAAACAATGCACTAGTTTCTTTTGTTTTGTCTTATAAGTTATTCAAAACAATGCAAGTTTCTTGGCTGTTCAGAAAAACGGACGGTCAAATTTGTGATCGGGCGACGGCTTGACTACCGAGACCTCAGCGTAGCTGACATGTAAACCGAAAATCCCAACAGTGCTTGTAATGCATAGGCTCCGCCTTACTTCTCGCTGATTGGTTGGTTCTTTAAAAGTATTCGATTGCATGTCAAGTCGTAGGTTATTCTTTATCACTGCGGTAGTATCGCCCTCTAGAGAAGATTCTGTGAACTTTTCGCAACTGCAGCTGATTTTGGGTAACAAACCATCCTCATCTGAGGAGAAATAAAATTCTATTTTAAAGAAGTGCCAGGTAAACGCATTCCTTAGAAATACAGCTATCTAGTTTTATTTTTGCTGAAATAATATGTTAAGAAGTAATGGGGGAATAAAATAGAATTAGAATTTATTTTAACTTCAAAAATTCTTTTGTGCAAAAATCATTTTGCAAACAGTATTTAAAAATGAAAAAAAAAATTCAAATTTCTAAAAATCCCTTTGTCGTTTATGCAGCGTTATATCCAAATATATATTTAATAATAAATTAATGGTAACCGTGAAATTATATCAAGAAAAGAATTATATTAGCACACATGGAATGAAAAACTTAATTGAAGATTATCTTAACTTGTATAATCTCAAGATAGTTTAATAATAATAAATTTCTTAACAATTTAGACATATTGAGGTTAAGTGTGTAATTCTAGACAAGTTTGAATATTTTATTACGAGATAATTTTTTTTTAAAAATGTTTCCTAAAATAAGAAGGCAAAAAATATTTTGAGAGTTTTCACCTTCTGTGTTTTTTATATCACTATAGTATTTGATGAAAAAGTTTCTCAGAAAAACAGTATAATCTGACTCATTATATTCCATTAAGATCTTTGTGTAACGGGAAAATTTTAATTTACAGAGACATTATAAAATAAGTTCACATATGCGTTGCTAGAAAAAAAATTACACACATATAAAACTCAATATCACAAACATTTATTTTAGACAGTAAGAAACTCAAGTCAATTATTTAAAAAAATTGCAAATTCTTTTTAAAAGAAAACATTTAATTTTGAGAAGTTAAATGCAAAATACAACAATCTCGTCCCTGCAAAAAAAAGAGAAAAAAAAAGCATTTTATGCCAAAAGTTGCTAGCCCTGTGACTACTAGCAGTTGGTATTAAATTTACAGCAAAGTTGCTGTTTTGCAATATTTCAGCAGACTGTTGTGAAGTTAACAATAGAGTTGCTGTTTTAAGCATTACATGAACTGATGTAAAACTTGTGCTGTTTTGAACATTATTATGGCAGGCTTATTGTAAAATTTAAAACAAAATTTGGACATTACATCAAACTTATGTAGATTTCGCAAAATGCTGTGAATACTGTAGTTCACTTTTGCCAATGTCACAATACAGTGTGGTCAATTCATTTTCATTGGTTTCATTTTATTTCATCATCATGAAAATGAAAATTTTGTCATTCATTTTCAGCAATGGTCAATTCATTGGTTGCTGACTGTGTGGTCAATTCATTTGGTCCCGTTTTCGATTCCGCTACCAGCAGCGGTGTCTTGTAGATCAACTTGTTGAGCAATATACAATGAACTTGTAGAACATCATACATAAAAATAATTGACCAAAAAAATGAATCAACATTATTGATACAAGCATAAATAAAGGAACTAACTCCAAAATTATTAGAAATACAATAAAACTTTCTCAGAATCATTTCCAATCAGCAACTTAACGAAACAAGTTTTTAATTCAGTTCCAATACCTGAATTTTTTTAAAAATTAACACGTCTAACAAAAGATCTATGTTAGAAAATTTAGTTTTATCGTCATAAAGAGGAAATCACTAAGAAATTTTATCTAAAGATATGGGTCATTAAAATATGGAATAAAAATTTCGATTGGAAGATTCCATTTATGAACTAAATATTTATTTAATAATGAGACTACAAAACTTGTATTGCCATATTTTAGAATTATCTTAAGTGTATAAGCCAATTTGATTTTACATTTAAGAAATCCCTTTAAAAAAGTATTACTAGCAAAGCATTTTTAAGGAATACTGAAAGGATGAAGAACCTCTAGAAAAAAACTATTTGAGCGAATCAAAAAGAAAATTTGTTTTTTCTTCTTTACTCACAATTATAGAGTTTGAAACTATTCGTACATGTATGATCTTTATATAAAGATAATTTAATCCAATTTGTAATTTTTTAAGACTTTTTATTTATTTATTTATTCATATTTTGTTTATTTTAAGAATGGTCCAAAAATTTTGTAAATCTAAGGTACACAAGTTTTCATATCATTTTCAACTATGTAATTTTAAATGACAAAAAATAAACTTCGCATGAAATCTACTGATTAATTTTTGCACTCGGAGTTCGTAATTTCCTCTCTGTAAGACTCTAATTGCAACGAACTTCAAAATTAATTGAATTGATAGTTAATTTATGTAACCAGATAATATTTTTATGGTAAAAAATCAGCTTCTCGTAATTGTAACGAATTTTATCAAATTTAATATAGTTGAACTATATATTTAACGGCCAGTTCCTTCTTCGAAAAATATGTCTACCAAACGTAAAAATACCTTCCTTCACAGAGAAAAGAAATAGTCAAATCTAACTGAATATGGTGAAATTTACCATGTTTCTATGGGAACATCAAAAAATTCGGCAATTTTAAACGAAGCACTTTGCTAATTCATTTGGTAAAATTAACAATAAAATACGATTTTATAATATGGAATAAAATTTGATAATTGTGGGAAAATTTGGTAATTTTATCATGATACAGTAGAGAGTGGCATAAAAACAATTTATTCCGTAAGTTCATCTTTGTACTTTTTACTAAATGTGTGGCAATAAGAGCAATTTTGACAACCAGAAACTCGGTAAACCGTTACCATAGGTAAGGAAAAATTACCAAATGAATGGATAAAATACCGTATATTTTTGTTTTATTAACTGAATTATTATTATTTTTTCTTTTAACCAGAAATATCATTACCATACTTCGCAGTTGCTTTACCAGTATTTTTTTCTCTCTTTCGAAAAACGATCTTCACGTTCAGCATCTACCGGAAAGAGTTTGGCTGTTAGATATCGTGCCGCCATTTGAAAATGCCCATAACATGAGTGCCAAAATTATACTGGAATCAATAGAAATGATACGAGAAGAAAAATAAACTTGCTGGTAATTTAAAACCATACCAGAAATTTAAACCCGTTATGCTATTATATAAAAAAATTTGAAATCTAGTAAGAAACTGTACTTTTAACTTCTAGTAAGTACTGTAAATTTTAGTAACAGTTTGCAATACTAAAAATTTTGATCATGAAATAGTTGGTAGAATAATTTTTTACCAACTAGTTCAGAGTTGAAAAACATAATGGAAAGTATTGCAAGTAGTATTATTTAAAACAATATAGTGACTTAAATACTAAGTCCATGCTCCATATTAGTCCAGTAATTAAAAAAAAAAATGCTTTTTCGATAAAATTAAAACCCAAGATTTCTGTTCACAAAAAACTTTGTTATGTCATTTTAAACAATGGTTGAAAACTACCCCAACTCACCCCTGTACGCTTAGCCCCTTTTCTCTAGATGGAAAAAGGAATGTTATCAGGAGAAAATTGTTTATAATTTATATTGACAAATGAGGTAATGTTTCTGATGTATTTTATTCGATTAATTGACTGAGGCCAGTCATAGATGATTGAATTAATAGATAAGTTGTAAAGGCTTTATAAATAAAACAGTACAATTTTGCACTTGTTCCTATTTATGCATCTGACATAGCTATCTAAACAAGTGCGGAAACACGAATCAGTCAAATGAATAGTTTAAAAGCTTTAAAAAAGAATTTGTGTAAAAAGTAATTTTTTTGGCATGTACTTATGTACTTTACGTTACTAGGGACAATCTGACATGTAATGTGTTTTTTCTGATCTAATTAATCCCGCAGAATTAAACTAGATCAATTTCGAAGTGATCAAATTTTTGATCAGATTTTAGAAATTATAAGCGTTTTAAGCACAATAAGCATAATTTTGTACTTGCACTTACACTCAGGTGAGTTATTATACCTTATATATTTTTGTTTAATTCAAGGATACCAAACACGAATCAAAAGGACTAATGTTTTTAACTAATGTTTCAAAAGTAAAATTAACGACTGCATATTATAAATTATAGCAGTGAGGAGCCTGAAACTTGAGTCTCTTGGAGTAAGGAGCCTGAACTAATGGGTCCAGATTTCCCACATTGCGGCTATATATTGGGAGTCAGATAATCTGAATCCGTCGAAAAAATTCCGAATCCAGCGAATCGTTTATTCAGTGAAAGTACGTTTTCGTGTCTGATTCCGTAACTTAAAATATTGTCTGCGTTAATTAATTAGCATTGCCACAAGCCGTGGATTCGATCCTCGAACCGGGCTAGGCTGACTAAGCTTTTCATCCTTCAGTGGGTCGATAAAAATTAGTACCAAGTACCAAGCATGGTTGGGAATTAAACACTGGGGGTTCGGCGTTCAGCTGACCAACCAACCGAAAAATCTACTCCTACATCCCAGAGCCCAATGTCAAGAAAACTAAGACGGGTACAGTAGGCCTTGGCCCTCTATGAGCTGTCGCGCCACCAAGTTTAGCTTAATTAAATAGCATATTTGAAATCACTTCCTCGAGCCATTTGAATTGAGTCCTAGAACGTGAAGATCCGACCATTAGATTAGAAGCTATTCCGTGTTCTCCATTTTTCTTTTTACACTGCACATAAGTCAAAGTCAAAAATAGTAATTTTAATATATGAAATCCGTTACACCATTTGGACTCGATTGTCTCGTGCATAGCTTTATTCAATTCAGCATAATAAAAACATATTGGATACAATGTCTCACTTGCTTTGATAGACAGAGTCAAGGCTTATACTGAATATAAATTTAACGAACACGAGCATAATATTAAGTAACGGTCAGTGGCTATATATTTTACGAGAAAAAAAATTCTGGACAGACATGTATTTAACATAATTTTATTTTTACGGTCAGGTACTGAAATACTTTTTATCGGTCACTGACCAAATTTTAGCGAAAAATGAGAAATAAGGCTTCCAAGAA